CGCCGCCGCCGCGCTCTGCGCCCGGGGTCTCGGCACCGCCTCCTCCCGGGCGGCCGCTGCTACCGCTGCCATCCTCCTGCTCCCACGGCGGCTCGCGGGTGAGTGGGAGGCGCCCGCCCAGGCTCCGCCGGGGCCACCTTCCCTCCTCCCCCAGCCACCCAGCTGTTATTAACGGAGAAAGAGGAAAAACGGGCGGCGCGTGAGGGGAGGACGGAGGGGGGAGGGAGGGGCGGCGCGCGCTTCCCGGCAACCGTTGCCGCGACCCCCCCCGCAAAGGAGGGGCCGCGGGTGGGGGGCGGTGTCTGGGCCGCGAAGGTGGGGGTGCCCAGGAGGGGAGGAGGCTCCCCGGCCCTCGCGCCGGAAGGCCGAGGAGCAGCGCGGCTGCAGGGTGCGCTGAGGCCCATGTGTTTGGGTCGCGCGCGGTGACCCCGCCCTCGCCCCTCGCGCCGCCTGGCGGATTGGCTCCCGCTGGCCTGGCCCCGCCTCCCCCAGCCGCGGCCTTCCCGCCCCGGCCCCGCCTCGCCAAGGTACCGCGGTGTGGTAGGTGCTGCCACCCGCGGACTCGGTGATGGACCGGTCGCTGGCCGCGCCCTCCCCTCCAGGGCGCGGCCCCCCTCCACTTCGGGGCCTAAGCCGATTGGAGGGACGGAAGCCCCTCGGGGCGCCAACCAGACGGCAGCCCCTCCTCCCGCACGTGGCTGTCAGACACTGGAGAAGACCGTGTCCCTTAACCTTTTCCAGTCTGGGGCTGAACATGGCTGTGTCCTGTGTCCGAGCCATTCCGATTGGGTGGGTGTTAACCTCCTCGATGGTGATGCTCAGAGTGTGTCTTTTAAATAAACCAGAAGGTCAGCAATACTGATGATAAAAGACTGAGAAGAGCGAAAACAAAAGAAATAACCAAAAAGGCAGAAGCCAGCTTGATCTGAATTAGACCTATTCCATAAAACACCCCAACCATGGAGGAAGGGCAGAGTTGGAAGAACTAGAGATAATCCAGCCTGACCTTCAGTTGTAGGGCAAAAACTGTGGTGCAGAGAAAGCTACACCGAATTTAGGAGACCTGGGGTCTAGGTCTGGGACCAAAACTAAATTACGTGTAGTGAACAAATTATTCTACCTTTTTGGACTTTAGTTTCATTACCTGTAATGTTTGTATTAAATCCCTAGGGCACTTGCAGCTTTAAAATCCTATAATTTCTCTCAAATGGAATTGAATAAAATTCTCCTCAGTCCATTCTTAACTGTAATGTAGTATCTTGCTGGCAGAGCATGGTCTGGATATCCGGTGGACAGCCTACTCTGACCCTCGTGTTTTGAAAATACCTAAAGTGTCTTCTATGTGAAAATAATGGCAACTGGTGGTTTTTGTACCATCTACAGAAATAAAATCTTTGTCTTTTTTTCCGTATTTGGAATGAGTCATTTATGTAATGACTCTTTTCATCACTCTTGCAAGTATGAGAATCAAGTTTTTAAACAGAGACGTGAAGAATATATGTGTAGATGTAGATATGTATTGTGTGTATGTATATATATCATATATATCAAAAATATATATAAGATATATATTTATATATCTGGGAATGGGAAAACAAAGCTACTCAATGCAAATCTAAAATTGTTTCATCCTGTGTTATGAGCTTACTGAAACCAATGCTTACTTGGTAAGCAGAGAAAAGTTTGAAAGACCAAAGTGGTTACCAGAATGACAAGTTCTAATTCAAGAAGGTAATGATTTGACCTGATTTGACTTTTATTGAATGAGGCCTTCAGTGTAAAACTGTGGTTCAGCAGGAATTTGTTACCAATACAGTAAGACCTTACTGTTAATAGATAAAAGTAACAAACACTATTATTTAAAAAAAGGAATAAAAAGACTTCAGCAAGTCTCTGAGAAGCTAACAACTAATGGTTTCACATTCATCATTATACATGCATTTTAGAAGTTTAGTTAACTATAATATGGAGCAAATCCCATTCAGTAGTTAAAACTGTTAAATGGAAAGATTTAAAATAAAACCTGTGACTCTTAGTCATATCCAGATTTAGTTATATTTTGCTTTATTGCATTCAAACTTAGTTATATTTTTAAATCATTTTTACCCAGATGGCAATTACACCTTAAAAGTGCTCAACATTTGGGGCCGGCCCTGTGGCTTAGTGGTTAAGTTCAGTGTGCTTGGCTTCGGCAGCCTGGGTTCGGTTCCTGGGCACAGACCTACACCACTCTTCCACGACCATGCTGTGGTGGTGACCCACATACAAAATAGAGGAAGATTGGCACAGATGTTAGCTCAGGGTGAATCTTCCTCAAGCAAAAAACAAAAAAAAAAAGTGTTCAACATATATTCCTAACTAGGAAAAAAATACCCTTATAGTGCCAGGTTTCCAGCATTGACACCACTCACAACAGTTGGAATTTTACATTTGTTTGAGTGATTGATTGATTTATGTCCATTCCTCACAAGACTGTAAATTCCATGAGGGCATAGAAAGAGTGGCTTTTGCTCACCATTGCAATGCTGGGCACACAGTAGCCTCTAGGTAAGTATTTGTTAAATAAATGAGTGGTGAGGCCATTTACAGGCTGAATGTTAGACATAAGAGAATAAAAATTGAAGTTGTGATGATCATTCATTCAGCTCGCAAATATGTGTTTTGTGTTACTCGGTGTCAGGCACAGCATATTAATCAGGGCAGCCTAAGCTATGCAGTGGAGACAAAGCCCCACACCTCAGGACCTTGATGCAACAAAAGCACATTGCAAGTTCACTTGGCACACCCTCTCATTTCTCCCCAAATGGTTCCCCTCTTGAGTGGCAGTCTTGGGTGTCTCTTCTCCAAGTAGTGACTCAGGGACTCAGGCTCTTATCTAATGGCTAAGCAGGCCCCCAGACTCCTCACACACGGAGTCCTTCACTAGGTCCTGTGTACCTAGCTGGCCAAAGGAAAGAGGCAGAGAGTGAAAGAAGTTTTGGACAAACCTGTAACGATTTGCATCCCTCCTGCCCACTGTCCATGTTGGCAGAATCAGTCACATGGTCCAAGCTAACTGCAAGGGGCTCAGGAAATGTGGTTTTATGTGTGTGCCCAGGAAGAAAAGGAAGTAATTTTAGCAAGCATGTCTTTGCCACACACAAGAACAGTTGCCTGACTGTCAAATATCTAAGCTAACTATTAAATCTTAGTAAAACCTTTTACAATAAAAATTGTCATATGAAAAATTTCTAGTGACAATTATTGTTACTAAGCCATTATAATGTAGTAAAGAAAAACTAATTTTTTGTGTGCATGTGGATCAACTAAATTCTATCTGCTTTAAAATTGTGCCTCTAGAAACACCATCTAGCACAAGTCTTAATTCGGCCATTTAGATCAGTGATCCTCCAAATGTGATTCCCAGATCAACAGTATCTGCATCGCCTGGGAACTTGTCAGAAAGGCAGATTTTCAGACCCCCACCCCAGACCTACTGAACCAAAAAGTACTTGAACAAGTTCTCTGATGGCTTCTGATGCACACTGATATTTGAGAACCACTGATCTAGATAATCACTGATTAGTTTCAAGGTAGAATACCATGTTAAGATGTGGTCAACATTTTGATTAAATGCCCTCTCCATATGGATGTCCCTGTGACCCCACTCCCAACCCCACCCCCATCATCACAGGCTGACTTCAGGATTCCCAGTCACTGCTGTGTTAATACTTCTTCACAGCACAGATCATGCTATTATATTATTGGTCTTCTTGCTTGTCACTAAACAATGCAGTGCATGACAGACCTCACATCTGTACCCCTAGCATCTAATACAGTGCCTGGCACCATAAATGATCTGTGAATGAATAAATGAGTAAATGAATTTCATACTTAACTGATCATTTCTTGAAGGTCACACATGACCTCATCTTGTACTTATCCCTGACATCTCCCCTGTGGTAGATGCCCCTTCCATTTCCTCTCTGGGTGGGCCTTCTTGTTTCTTTCTGCACGAGGATTCTGGAGTTATAAAACTTTGGCCTGCTATGTTCCTTCCTTGGCCCTCTTTCCTCTCTCCTCAATCTCCACACAGGAATCCACGTTAAGCTGTCGCTGTGTTTTATTGTCAACCAAACAGTTTTGACTTCATTTAAAATTTGTAGCTTTTTTATTGTACCCTACCAGTTCTTCAAAAATTAAAAGTGCTGCTTCATCCAAAGGGGTACACACGGCCATACACACATATATAGAACTGAAACCAGTTGTATGAGATCATGCCCACGCTACATGGGATGTACTCCATTTTCTGTCCTATTCCATTTCACCTGTGTAAAATGATGGTCACTGCCTACTGAATTGATTTTACAACCCACTAATGGGTTGTAATCTGCAGTTTGACAAACAATGGTGTGAATCGGTGCTTTGCAAACTT